ACCATAGTAATGGGGGCCGGGACTGAGAGCATCGTTACCAGAACAGGGGTGGGACAGAGAGCATCGTTACCACGGCTCTCATTAAAACCAGGCAACACGCAAAATATAAGAACAAAAACCCAATTAAAAACTAGACAAGCTTCCCCTTCTCCCCAAGGTCTCATATCACTGATGATCACGACCACATCAGCAATAGCCTAAGGCAAACAGCAATTAACCCCATGCAGTGTAATCAGGATCCTGAGAACACCTTGTGGGGCTCGAGATTTTCACAGCACACCAACAGCTTTGCCACAATGAGATTCCACAGAGCAAATGACTTTATAGCAGGAGTTTGCAGTTCATTTGTCTGTGTACAATGAGTCTGTGGTACCCAAGAGGTTGTTTCTCCAGTGATGAACGATTAACTCGAGTTTTACATACTATATATAACATTTTTACCAGTTGGGAATCAAATGCATTGTGAAGCAACAGGAATAACATGCACAGAGCCACCAATGAAAACCTAAAGCAGAACCAAGTATTCTCTAGGCAGAGCCACTTAAACCAACCTAAGACTCCACGGGGACCTGCAATTGAATCAGAATTCCCTCCTAATAAGGATTTTAATCTGATCTTGTGCCCTCAGGTGGCAGAAACTTTCAACAAACAATTCAGGACATCCTGACACCAAGTTTTACACACACTAAACTAACACTGAGTTTTGACCTAATATCCACTTTCCAAGTGAAGGTACCAGAGGTGCTGAAAGGTAGTTAAAAAACCCCAAAAGGGAAATGAAACCACAAAGATGAACAGATTTAACACCGAAATACTTACAATTCTTTCCTAAGTTCTTCCACCTTCTTGTTCTCCAAGTTCAGAAGCTCTTTTGATTTATTAAGTTCCTCTTCATTTTTCAGGTTGTTCTGTTTAAGCATGTCCAACTTAAAGAGTTAAAAAAAAAAAGCCTCATTACCCCAACTAAAATGACTCAGTTCTCAGGAGCAGCACTCAGACCTGACCCCCTCAGCAGCAAGGGGGTCTGAGCTTTCCATTTCCACCTCTGGCCCTTGCATCAATTCCTCCTGTGTGCACTGAGAAGTATTTGTCTAACAACAAGTGACTTTTGCCACCAAGTCAAGCAGCACAAAGACTCCCAAGCCCACGGGAGAGCAGCAAACACCCCACACCAAAGGGGAGACCCCAAGCACATCCCCTGCCCTAACTGCTGCACCACTGCTGCTTTTCACCTGCAAACGTGTGGCTGAAATCTACTGCTCCTTGGTCTTTTCTGCTCTGGGTAGCTGAGAAACACTTGTGCTTTGCCCTACCTGAATTCCTGGGGCTCGGGAGGCTGAATGCTGTGCCTGCAGCCACAGCAAATGAATCTTGTTGCATAGGACAAGCTGCTGTACATCTGTTTCCTGAGCTCTCCCCACGTACACACCACGAGCCCCTGGCCCCGATCTCCTCTCAGCCACACATTATATTACATAAGAGATAATCTTGAGCCATTCTCATGGCATTACAGTTCCCCGTGGATTTTTTTTTAATCCAGAAAGTGAAGCCCTCCCATTACAAACGTCACCACTCCTAATTCTCCAGCCATCAGGTCCCCCTGGAAGCCATTCCTGAGGCATTCAGGGCAGCCCAGCTGTTCCCTGCCCACTGCTGTGGGAGCTGCCCAGGATGGAAGAGCCACCAAAAAGAGGCCACAGCATGCTCAAGAGGAGCAGCAAAGATGCCACTTGGATGTCAGACAAGAAAGCTGGGGCAAAAGAGACTAGTGGGGCCAAGTCTCCCCTCCCGCGAGCAGCACGAGGTGGGAGCACATGGGCTGCACACAGGTCCTGACAGGAACTGCTGCAACGTGGGACCGAAGGACAGAGGCCACAGCACCACAAGAGCCTGTGGAGTGTCCCTCACTGAGCACTCATCTAGCATGGTTCCACAGCACTGCAGGGGACGTGGCAGGACCCAACTCTTGCCTGATGTAATTCTCCATCACTCAACAGCTCATGCAAACCAGGCAAAACTTCTGAGATGAAAACATTTAATGTGATTACTTCATTCTGCAGCTTCTCGTTTGTCTGTCTGGAGCTCTCCAGAGAGGCCAAAGTTTCAATCTTTTCTTTGTGGATGGCATCCTTCTCTTTGGTCACCTTCTCCACTGTCTGCAAAGCATCTTCTGCCGCTTTGGCAGCCTGGACAGAAAGGGGTGGGGAAAAAACAGTCACCGACGGGACCTCCAAACACAACAGATGAGCCACAAAACCCTAGGTACAGCTCCATGGTTTGGCAGCTGCTTCCCAGTTAAATAAGGACTTCAACTGGGAATTGACTTGCACTTTGGAGCTGCATAAAGTACAAATTAAGTGACCAAGACACAATCCCGTGCAGAAACAGACCATGACAGATCATGCTTGTGTCACCTCCAAGGATCAATCCCACACAGAAACAGACCATGGCAGATCATGCTTGTGTCACCTCCAAGGAAGCACCAAGGAAGTTCCCTCAGTTTTAATTCCTGGATTTCTCATTACTACCACTGTGATTGCTCTCAGGCCTCTAACCTCTTCAGACAGTAGCAGTTCAATGAATAGTCACTTCCAACAGAGCTCTGTTTTCAGAGCTCTTTCAAAACCTCAAAGATTTGGAAAGTGATGGAACAGGAGATAAAGCCAATTGTGGTGTCCTCTCATTATGGCCTCAGGAAAGGAGTGTGAAAACACTCAGGTAGGCATCACCCTGTCCTGGTTCCAGTTCGTACTCAAAGGGATTTTCTGGGCCTCAAGCCACACGAACTGGAACTCAAGGCACTGCACAGAATTTGTTGGTAGTGAGTACAAAACCCTTCTGTGAATAAAAAGAACAGCAGAGTTGCCAATGTCTTTCCCAAACTCTTACACTGATTTTGTCCAATTACACTTGCAGGCCCAGGATGTTGTTTTATGTTTGTTGGAGTGACTCAGTAGTTGGAATTGAACACCAAATTGCACAGGGATCTAATCTAAAATCTTATCTAAGACCACTCTAGCCTTTGTGCTGCAGAATCCTGCAGCAGAAGGAGCTGCTCAGTGTCTCCTGACAGATTCAGGGACCAGAACTGCCCTTTTATTCACAGTGTAGGTCGTTTTCTTGCACCATTCAGCAACCACAAAGGCTTGGTATTTAGAAATTTCCAAACAGTATCAGAGTGCCTTTCAGCCTCCCAGTGCCAAGTGGCCAGACGTGGAGCAGGAGGCTGAGCCCGGGGCTGCAGCCCGGCCCCGAGGGGCTGAGCGCGCCGCGAGCAACGCACAGGGTTAGTGCTCAGGATCAGTACAGCCCCATACTCCCCTACTTCAATAGGTGTTCCAATACCTCCAGCTCCTGCTCTACTCTGGGCCTGGAGAGTCTCCATTTCTTTTAGTTTCAAAGCCAGACTGTTCATCTCCTCCTGCAGCATCTGATTTTGGCCCTGAGACATCAGCAATTTGCCTGAGAGGTCACTATTAATTTGCTCTAAAAGTGCAACTTCCTCATGCAGTTTGTAATAATCCCGAGAGAGTTTCTCCTTCTTTGCTATTTCCTCCTCACTGGGGACCAGGCTCTGCTCAGCCTGGAGACTGCCCAGCTCCTGCAGCAACTTTCTTCTCTCCTCCTCCATCAGCTCAAGCCTGTGCTGATGCTCTTCCAGCCTCTGGCACACGATGCTGTGCAGGGCCTGGAATTCTGCTGCTGACACAGACGCGGCGGCAGAGTCACCCTCGAGCTGCTCCATGCTGGACACAAGCTTCTCTTTCTCTGCACAGAGGGTTTCTTTCTCTTTTGTTATTTCCACCACTTGAATTTCAGATTTTTCTTTCTCCTCAACTAAAAGTTCTTTCTTGGTCAGAAGTTCCTTATTGTTCTCGCTCAGCTCTTCCATCTCCTCTAAGCAGGTGATGCTGCTTTGAAGTCCCACACATTCTAACAGAAACGATTCCTTGTCCTGTTTTCTAGGTTCCTTTTCTGTGCTTAGGTTTTCTTTCAGCACAGCAACCTCCCCAGCTAATTTCTGGCACTGGTCCTGCAGCTCAGTCCTCTCTCTGAGCAGCATCTCCCTGTCAGAAGAACAGGAGCTCAGGGAGGACAGCAGGTCCAGCTCAGCCTGCAGTGCTGCTCTGGACTCCTGGGCCTCTTTCAGATCTGAAAGGTCACGTTTGCAGGCCATTAGCTCTTCATTTTCTGCTGTCTTCCTACTCAGCTCTCCCTTGAGGGCTTCAATGGAATCCTGGAGCATGACATTCTCTTGGGCCAGAGCACTCTTGGATGAGACAACCAGTTCATGTTCTCTCTTCAGACCAGCAACTGCCTCTGCACAAGACTTGCTTTCCTCGAGAAGCTCAAAGTGTTTTTTCTCCAAGTCTTTCTTCTCTTGGAGAAGAGCTTCGTTATGCTTTTCAACCTGCAACAACTTCTGAGTGACAGATTCCTTCTCCAAGGTGAGCTGGTTCATCCTCTCAGCCAGTGCCGCGTCTGCCGAGGCCTTTGTGAGCTGCTCAGCAACTGCCTCGTTCTCCCCCTGGAGCTGCTCCCTGTCTGCCAAGAGCCTCTGCTGGGAGGCACAGAGAGCCTCCTTCTCCTGCAGCAGCTGAGCACACTCTGCACTGAGTGTCTCCCTTGAGGCTTCCACCTCCTCGAGAAGACGGGAGAGACTCCCAAGGGAACTCTCCAGCTCCGTATTGGCTTTCACCAGCTTTGCAAGTTCCCTGTGCTCAGTCTGTAACTCTTCTTGCAGCTCCTCCTGTCTCACCTTTAACCCCTGGTTTTCACTAGCTGTGCTGTCTAAACTCATGCTCAGCTCCTCTATGTGCTCAAGGAGCATCTGCTTCTCGGCCTGCAGACTCTGATTCATCTGCAATACTCTGCTCATCTCCTTCTCTAAGGCTTCATGTGAACTTTTGAGATCCAGATGTTCACCCAGGGCTGAATCCCTCTCAGCAGTCAGAGCTGACACTTGTTGCAGGAGCTCTCTTTGCTCTTTGGCCAGGGCGTCACAAGAACTCCCCAACTTCTGGATAACATCATCTTTGTCTTTTATAACTGTATCTTTCTCTTGCAAAAGTTTCTCCTGGTAACTCCCCAGTTCCTCCCATTCCTTGGTGTGTTTCTGACACTCCACATCCATGGCAGCTTGGCTGGCCTCAAGCTCTCTCAGCTGCTGCAGCAAGGCTGACTCTGCAGCCCGGAGAGCATCGTTTTCCTGAATGGCATTCAGGAGTTCTTCCTGGGCCTCCCACAGCTCGGAGAACAGCTTGCTGTTCTCAGCGAGCAGAGCTCCCTTCACTGTGCTCTCCTGCTGCCTTTGGGCCTCAGCTTCTTCCTTCTGCTTCAGCATTCTCTGATGTTCTGACTTCAGCTCTTCTTGCTCCTGTTGCATTGAGAAAATCCTGGATTCCAGTTCTTTCAGTTCTGATAACAAGGAACCTCTCTCTAATTTTAAAGCACCTTCCTCCTGGGTCAAAGTCTCTTTTTCTGACATCAAATCCCTCATCTGGTCTGACATTAGTTCAATTTCTTTTCTGGCTGATGCTAACACAGAGCTTAAGGACTAAAGGAATAAAGTTGGGGAGAAGGGAAAACAAAAATGAAGTCAGGCAGACACATGAGAAATGTGCTTTGAGGGCAAACAGAGCAGTTGTCACTCGGGTCTGACCCAGTCCCTGGGTGAGCTGAGCTGTGCCAGCCACCCCTGCCAGGCCAGAGCACTCAGCAGCCACCAGAGCAGCTCTGGTGGCCAAACAACACTGAACAAACCCTGGCTCAAAGGCTCCTCCTGCAAAACTTCAGGTCATTTATGAACCTGCTCTCAACAAACTGCCGTAGATTACTCAGCCAGAGGAGCCAAGGAATGAATCCATGAGATAAAGGGAATTAAGTGCAAGGAGTTAGATCAGCTACCGACTCCAATTCTCAATTTCACCTTCTGCAGATAATTCTGCTCAGGATTCCCTCAAAAAAATATTGTCAGGCCCCATTTAATTGCAACCACCACATCAGTGCTGCAGTTCAAGTCAGCTTGTGTGCCAATTCATACACCAAACACTTTCCAAAGCACAAACCAAAGCTTACAGGAGGTAACTGATGGGGCTGAAGGGAGCTGGAATGTCAGAGAAATGGGGGAACCGACGTGGCTAAGGCCAAGCTACACACACTGCAGAGCTGCAGCTCACGTGGGAGTGTACTACAGAACAAACTCCAGGTGTGTAGCACTTGAAAGTGAAATAGTTCACAGCCTGTTTTAAAATTCAGGACATTTGGCTCCAGCTGATTGTGCTGAGCCTGTGAAATGCTAACAGCAAAGAAGTGTGTTTCACTGACCGGTGTAATGCAGGGAAGAACAACCAGTCAGTTGTGTGTTGCTCCTCCCTAACCCATACTCATCTGCCCTGGAGAGTTCAACCAGAAACTGCCAAAATCTTGCTGGGAAATGCTAAAGCAAACCAACCCCAGAGGTTCACCTCAGGGAGATTCAAACTAAGTACTCCCAGAGAAACAAAACACACATACCTGGGCCTGCTCTGCTTGGCTCCTCAGCTCCTCAGCCTGAGCCTCCAGCTCAGCATTCCTCTTCTGGGCAGCTCTCAGTGCCTCTTCTGCCTCCAGCAAGCTCTGCTTAACCCCTCTGGTATCTGCCTCGTGTTTAGCCAGCAGCTCTGACGTGTCTTTGTCATACTTTGCCTGAAGGTCCTTGCACTCGTTCTGGGTGCTCTCCATCTGCTTTTTCTGACAGGAGATAAGGGAGCACGGGTGAGGCAGGAGTGGTACAGCACTCACTTCTAGTGCTTTGAAAGCTGAACTTACCATGTCTGTTAATTGATCCTGCAGGTTTTTCAGTTCTGCCTGATGAATCTTGAGAGTTT